GAGACACAGGAAGTAGTAGGGTGGGGTTTGGAGTGGCACAGCTTTTTCTGGTGTGTGTGGCTAAGAGGAAGGACAGGTCTTTCAGAGACGCCAGCAAGGATGGAAAGTTAGCTAATTGCATCCCAGCCTCTCTGAGCTAGCAGGTTTTCACCCCAGCCTTTGAATCTCAAGTCTTATTCGTAAATAGAATGATAGAGATTTAGTTCAAGCTACCTTTAGCTGCAGAAGCAGGGTGGATTGTTGCTGGAGAATTTCTCTGCAGCTCCTGCCAAGTCCCGCCAGTCCCAGAGCCCACTTATAAAATAAACACACAGACACTTATATTATTTAAACTGTTTGGCCTAATGGCTCAGGCTTCTAGCTATCTAGTTCTTAATATCTTAAATTAATCCATTTCTATAAATCTACACCTTGCCACATGGCTCGTGGCTTACCAGCATCTTCACATGCTGCTTGTCATGGCAGTGGCTGGCAGTGTCTCCTTCCACCTTCCTGTTCTCCCAATTCTCTCTATTAGTCCTGCCTATACTTCCTGCCTGGCCACTGGCCAATCAGTGTTTTATTTATTGACCAATCAGAGCAACAGATTTGACATACAGACCATCCCACAGCAGCAGATGCCTGTGGGAACAGAATTCCCACCAGGCTGCAGCCAGAGTGGCCAGGTCATTGCTAGAGAAGCAGGCTGGTAACTGCAGAGATGCAGTGTCTGGCTGAAATATCAGTAGATTAAGGCACAGCCACTATGTCAAAGTTAAAACAACACCTTGGTGTCTGATGGAGGCTAAGTGGTGAGGGCAGCCATTTACTATCTCTGCCTGGGGTACCAGCCTCCAGGAACACAGGGCTCAAAGGGAAATCCACAGAGTCAGTGTGTCCTAGACTTTTTTTTTATCTGAGGGGATTAGGGAAAGACCCTCACAATCTTTCTTGATGATTTCCCTCTTTATTCTCTATTCTTTTACAGTATAATTTTTCTCTACAGGTTATATACCCCTACAAAGTTTTTCAAGCAATATAGGAATTACAGTGTAGTTACATTCTATTTTTCAAGTGAATGATTATAATGAATACATGCAAAAACATGTTTTTCATCTCCCTTACATGATTAAAACAAAGTCACCCCAATAACCCATATATATTTACATCTAAGTAACTTGTTATAGAATATGGGCAAGCAGAGGGTATTTTTTTTTCTCAGCCAATTCTTTTGTTGGCAGGCTGCATATTGTGGCTACAAAGAAAGGATCAACCACTTTATTATTTATCTTGAAAGGTAATCTTGTAAGGAATCTTAAAGGAATCACAAACCTAAGCTTTTATGCATAAAAACAGTCAGTTCTCCTTTAAATCTTTGAGGTGCATACACACTCATCAATAGTTTCTTATATCAGGAGACTGAGGGCAGAAATGGATACAAGGAACCAACATCACCTTGGTTCATCAACCGACCTTAGCCAGGAAAGTATGTTAGCTAGTAACAACTGGCTGCCTTGTATTTTTGAGCTCAGCTATGTGCCCTAGTGAACTTTAGATTGTTTTCTGGTTTTTTTTTTCATATCAAAGCTAGACAGTACAAATATTATGAAAAAACATTTGCTCTAACCTGAAGTTATTTTAAGGCTTTGTTTCAACCATGATGCACACTGAAACCTGTGACTGCATCCTTCAACATTAAGATTAGAGGAATTTGAGCCAGCCTGGCTCCTGGGACTCAACTGTTTTTCTTAATCATTAACTTGAACTGCGATCTATGCAGCTCCTTAGGTGAAACTCATAGGCCCTCGCTGTGTAGAATTTCCTTGTATTTATTTTTATTCATCAAAACTCGGTATAAACTAATATTATTATTAGTTTATCAATTAGACAATACAGCTTCGGAAGGAATCATCTTCATAATAATCACAGGTAAAAATGCCCAGTAGAATAGGATGTTTCCATGAGATAAACACACATTACAGGCAGTGGGGAATTCACCACACCCATTCGCCCCATGCCAGATACCAGAGAAAGACAGCAGCAGCAAACATGTGAAGGCACAGCAGAAACAAAAGACATTCTGGGGGTCTGTGGTCTCGGGGGCCTTACCTTTCCGAGATTCACCCATCAGGGATTCGCCTCCTGGTGGACTGACACTTCTAACTTCAATTGCCACCTGCTGCTCCTCTGACACAGCCACCAGCCATCAGCCACCAGCACTTTACCCAAATGGGAAATATGGCGAGAGCTGGCTAGAGAATCCACTCAGTTTGAGACTTGTTACTTTGAAAAGCTTATGGCCATCCTGGTAGAGGCAGCCAGGATTCTGCTGGAGATCTGGGCCAGGTGCACAAGAGAGGTCTGGGAAGTAAAGGATAAGAGCAATCAGGATCTGGAGGGATGAGGATGAAGGGAACTGTGGGCATGGCTAAGAGCCCCAGGGACAGTTCTAAAGGAGCACTTCTCAACAAGGCTCACATTGGGAGCACTGCTTCCTGGAAGACAGGACATTTCCAGGGTACACACCTCCCACCTACAACTCCAGGAAGTATTGGAACTCTACTTGACGAGGAAGCAAGCCGTTAGAGATCACTGATGTACCATTGTTCTTGTCAGTGTGACAAAAAATACCTAGCAGAAGCAATTTAAGGAAGGAGGTGTAGCCCAGCATGGTGGTGCATGTCTTTAATCCCAGCACTCAAGGCAGGCAGATCTCTGAGTTTGAGGCCAGTCTGGTCTGCAGAGTAAATTCCAGGACATCAGGGCCACACAGAGAAACCCTGTCTCAAAAATTAATTGATTGATTGATTAATTAATTAATTAAAAGAAAGAAAAAGAGGTGTTTCTTCTGGTTCATAATCTGGAAGTGTAGTCCATTATGACAGGGAAAGCATGAAGACCAGGACATGGCTCCTTTCCATCTCGATGGCTCCAGGAGCAGGAAGGACTGGAAGCAGGGCAGGGCTAAAACCCTCAAGCCTGCTCCCCAGCTGCCTGCCAGCTAGGTCTGATGTCCCAAAGATTCTACAGCCTGTCCAAACAGCGCCACCAGCTGGAGATCAAGCACAGAAAACATAAGCCCCTGGGTGACATTTTACATCCAAACCACCTGTCAGAAAAAAACACATTCAGGTTAAGGAGCAAAGCAAGAGCCCAAGATGGGAGGCCAAATGAGTTAGAGATCTGGGGAACACCAGAGAGGGAGGTGCCCTGTTAGCCTGTGGCTCTCACTGTTCGTGTGCACAAGGCAGCCTGCGAAAACCCCACACTCCTGCTCCTCCCCATTCGGTTGCAGGAGACCCTGGAGTCTGCATTGCAAAGAGCGCTATAGGAACCACCTCTGCGATGGAGAATTGTGGGAAGACTCTTGGGGTTGGTGCTGCCAGCAGGGGAGATGAGTCCCTGTGAAATAAAGAAGGTCTATCCGTTTCTGCTTCTCAGAAGGTCACTGGTAACCAAGAGAGAGGAAATTTCAGTGGCATTGTGGGAGGGGAAGCCAGATTGCGGTGGGCAGAAGAATGAATGGGAGGTGAGAAAGGGAGATGGCAAACATGGACCCCTTTTGGGAGACGTTTGTATGAGAGACAGAAGTGAGAGCATCATCCCCCTCAAAGGCTGCCCTTCGTCTCCAGATTAAGGAAATCTGGAGGCTGAGTAAGACTTTCCACAGACCCTCAGAACTTTTCAGGAAGACAAGCTGGGGGCTGGCACAAGTGGCAGAATTCACACTGCCGAGTCTCAAACCCAGCGCCGTGTGTCTGCACTCAGTCCACACACTCAGGCTAGGGTTAGTCCCCTGTCCCAGATCAGAACTTATCGCTTCCAAGAAGCTCTCCAGCAACGACTGCGCTCCGTTCTCACCTCATACCAGGAGGCATTCGTGTTTAAACCCCTCCACCTACTACCCTACTTCTTCCTGTGTCTTCTCTCCCACCTACACTACATGCGCCCTGCACCCAGGCTCCTGGAGCCGCCGACTTCTCCCCAGGCAACTTATTGTCTCAACTCTCCTTAGCCTTCTGGTCATCTTGGGCTCCACCCCCTTAGGTGCCACATCTAGAAGAGACAGGACTCTGCCCAGTCTCTGCTATAGAAGCGTGTGGAATAATAGATTCTGTACCCATTTCTTCTCGTGGCTCTTTTCCTGCTGCACTGTGGCTTCCTTGGAATCACTAGCATCTAGCCAGGGCTGAGTCTCCTGTAGATGCCAGGAAACCGGCTGGTGGAACTTCACTAATGAGTACATGTTAAGCACAGAGTAAGTGTTTAAATTATGGGGTATCCCAGTGACCCTTTGATCCATTCTTCTTCCTCTTCACCTTCCCCTCACCCAGCTGCACTAACGCTCTTGGGTCATTTCATCCCAGGAAGAATCAGAAGCAGGTTTTTCGCAGCTGCATCTGATGGTACCGGTGTCTCCCAGCCTCAAGGGCAAGGTGACTCTGGAGGGTGTGCGCAAGGAAAAGAGGACTCGGGTTCCTTCTCCGGGGCTATTCCTTGATTCTCTCCTTCCGTCTCTCAAGTTCTACACATCGGTTCAGACAGGATTACGGATGTTGCTACTTGAAACTACTGTGTTGAGAATCAATGAGACAGTTCCTCTACAGCATTACATAAATTACATGAGGTTCTTGAGGTCCCTGTAAAACAGAAGATCAGCGTCACGACACCAACAAACTGCATTTGTCATTTCCAATGACGAAAACTCACAGAGCAAAACAGCTTTACGAAGTTTGTTTCTCTCCAGAGACAACTACAGCTTGCTCTGGCATACTTAAGACGACTATAAGCGAAGCCCCGCCTCCCCGGCCTCTAAGCCACGCCCCTCGCGTGAGCGCCGGCCTCCTAGGAACGAATTGGCATTTCGCTACACCAATAATAAGTGAAATTGCTGTCAACGTCCGGTGAGGGGACGGGACTTCCGGGCTGGTTGCTAAGACACTCTTGTTCGCTCCTTGACAACCCTGGCGGGGGTGCGCTGGCAGCGGCCTAGGCTCTGGCCCCCGCGGGAGCAGGTGAGGCCGCAGGGCAGCGTGGCGGGGTGGGCTGGCCCGGAGGGAGGGCGGGAGGACGCGCAGGGCGGACGAGGCCTTGGCCCCGCGGGAGGCCCCACCTTCATCCCCAGTCTGCGGTTCCCGGCCCAGGACCTCCCCTCGTCCCAGGTAGAGGACCGCGCAGCTCGACCGTGACATTGTGCCTCCCGACTCCCACGGTGCAGGCCGCCCCTCCCCACCCACCCCGGCCCCTTCCCCTCGCATCCTCCCTGTTCTGACTCCCGCAGCGCCCTGTCCCCCGCGCCACCCCGCTGCTGGCTGGATGGTGGTCACGAACGCCTCGTCCCAGACCACTTTGGTTTGGAAATTTGGCGACGTCCTGGGACTCTTGGGCTGACTATTGCCCGTTGTGGGGGGACTCAGTTTCCCCATCTATAAAGGCGAAATTGGATTGAACGGTCGCACAGGCCTTTTGGACTCGGACGTCCTAGGATGTTGTTCTTGGACTCAACTGTCAGCTTCCCGGAGGATGTGTTCTCTCTCTTCCCTAGTTTTATGTACTGCAAAGAACTTGGCAAACCTAAGTTGGATCCCCACTTGTAAGAATCCTGGCAAGTTACCTGAGATCTCTCTGGCCACCAGTCGGTGCATCTGTAAAGCCAGTATTCCGAAGCCCATCTCCATTGGCAATTGAAGTACAAAGGGCCCAGTCCAGTGTAGATTCAGTACTTGCTAGCTTTCTTTTTTCTGTGTATATATAGGTTCCTGTGTATACAGGTTCATGTGGAGACCAGAGGTCAACATTGTGCCTTAATCACTCTCCATCTTATATGTTTTCTTTCTTTCTTTCTTTCTTTCTTTCTTTCTTTCTTTCTTTCTTTCTTTCTTTCTTTCTTTCTCTCTCTCTCTCTCTCTCTTTCCGTTTGTTTGTTTTTGAGACAGCGTTTCTCTGTGTAACAGCTCTGGCTGCCCTGGATCTCGCTTTGTAGACCAGGCCAGCCTCGAACTCACAGAGATCTGCCTGCCTCTGCCTCCCCAGTGCTGGGATTAAAGCTGTGTGCCACCACTGCCCATCTCTCTCCACCTTATTTTTTTTGAGACAGGGTCTGTCTCGATTCTAGGAGCTGGCTATTGGGCTAGATGGCCAGTGATCTCCAAGGATCCTCCCAGCTGCCTCTCCGATGCATGGCTGCCACACCCAGCTTTTACACAGATACTGGGAAGAGAACTCAGGCCTTCACATAGCAAGCACTTTATAAAGTGACCCAGTTCTCCAACTCCCTAATTTCCTTTCTTTGTCTCTCTCCCTCCTGGGAGGAACCCAGAGATTTCCTGTGGAACCCACTTAGTATCCACTTTCTGTAGATGGACCTCACATCTGCTCTCTGGCTTTGATCTTTTCCCTGTTCTTTGTGGTTAGGCATTATGGGCAGGGGATGAGAAGACTGGAAGAGGTTGACACGGTGATGTGAGCTGGGCTCATCGCTTCCCTTTCCAACCATCCACAATTCCGTCATCTTGTACTCCTGACCAGATGTCTCCATTCGCGTTTTGCCAGCTGCTAAAATCAAGCTGGCCTCCTTCTCCACCTGCCCATCTGGTCTACCTGGCTTTCTCCATGGTCTGCCAGGCCCATTCCACTGAGGACTGAGTTATCAGATTGTCTTGATTCTATCTCCATGGGGATATTGCATCCTTTCCGTTCCTGAGGCCGCCATCCTGGTCCAGGCCGTTAATGCCTGTCATGGGGGTTATTGCTGTGACTTTCTAACTGCTGTCCCTGTCAACCCAAGTCACCAACCACTGTGCTACCAGCCCCCAAGAGGCTAGGCACAGTGGTGCTTGCTTGCAGTCCTAGTATTTAGGAGCAGTATCACGTTTATCCTCAGTTGCCAGCCTGTGGTGTGTGAAAGCCTATCTCAAAAAACAAAATCCACACTTTTTATGCCTGGGTTTTAGGGCCCCCACACTTGCACAACCCAACTCCAGCCCTTTTTGCCCTTCTCAACTGTGTCCGGTCACCGGTCCCAGGAATCCGTGAGCTTTCTCTCACCACCACCGCATCGCCCCTCTGTCTGGACAGTCTGCTCCAGTGCCCTCGTGGCCGGATGCTCACTCACGAGTGCGGACTCCCTCCTATGCTGCCCTCTTCTCACTGAGCTGCTCTTGACCCCCTCCCACCCCCTCCCGGTCTCTTCCTTCTCTGCCATGCCTTTCTGCCATGGATCATAACTCCTGGGTCCGTTTTCACAAATCCTGGGACCCCCCCATGGCAGTGCTGCTTCTGGCTTGGTTAGAGTGGCGTCATCGAAAGCAGAGTCTTGAAGTCATGTGTACTGGGGTTGGGGTCTGGCCCTCCATTTCTCAGCGGGATGGAAAGTCACTTTGCTTTGCTTGGGCCATGTGCTCATCAGTAACGGGGGGGGGGGGGGACATGGGACACGAGTGTCAGTTTTTTGGAGGGTGATGAATTTTTGAGAGCCTGTATATAGAATTCCTCTCCTGATCTCTGGCTGAAGATCAGTATTAAGTAAATATATGTTTAAGAAACTTTGTGTGTACACATGTTCATGTTTAGGAGTGCCTGTTTGTACATGAATATGGAGCCCAGAGATGGATGATGGGTATTTTTCTCAATCATGCCCCACTTTTTTTTTTTTTTTTTTAAAGACAAGATCTCTCTTTAAACCTATAGCTCACTTATTGGCTATAATACTGGCTGGCCAACAAGCCCCGGGATTCTCCTGTCCCTGCCTGTCCAGCACCAGGATTATAGGCATAGAGCATAGCATCCAGCCACCTCTGGGTGTGTGCACTTGTGTGTGAGGGAAAGAGAGGGTGTAAGCATGCACATGCACCCCCCAGTGTGCATGTGGAGGTCAAAGGGCCACTTTGGGGCACTGTCTCTCTCTTTCCACATGGGTTCTGGGGACTGAACTCGGGTGACCAGGCTTGCAGAGCAAGCACTTTTACCCATGAAGCCTTCTCTGCAGCTCTGCACCCCACTTTTTCTGTGGGTGCTGGGGGTCTGATCTCAAGTCTTCATACTTGTGCAACAAACCATGCTGAGCCATCCCAGCTCCAGTGTTTAGTGAGTATTATTGGATGGCTGTGAATGGACCTCGCCCCTCCCAGGAGACAATTGAAATATAATTTCATTACATTTTGGATATCCTTTGGACTTCCGCCATGTGCCTGACACTGGACTGCTCATTCTGGAACAGTAAAAGAGACTGAAGTCCCTGAGCTCCAGGGTGTCAGGATTCACGACACGTGGTGAAGTCATGATCACTTTAAGGTGTGATTGCTGATTAGCAATTGTCAGTGGTTTCCTAGGAAATAGATCAGGGCTGCGTGCAGTTGAGCCTGTGATTTGTCACTTTTAATTCCTCACGTTCAGATCCGTTCGGAGTGTGGAAGAAGTGGGGCAGGAGGCTGCGTAACCGTGCTGCAGGCAGGCAGCTGCTCTCACGCCCAGCCCGTGGCTGCCGCGCTTATGACTTTTTCTTACTTGTCTCTTCACGGAAATGTTTGGGATCTCATCCAAATTTGGGTATGTCCGTGGGGGTGTACTGAGTGAGTCACTGTCGTTTAGCACGCGGTGTTGGACAAAGCAAATGTTGATCGCCTAGCTCAGCGAGTCAACAGATGTCTCTTCTAATTCTACCTCCCCCTCCCCTTCCTTCTCTTCTCTTCCTCCTCCCTCTCCATAACCAAAGTATAAAGAAGTTTTCACTGGGCCTCAGTGTAATTGAGAAAAAGTAAAGACCTTTTCGGACCAAACGAGACCGCTTGTGTGTGTGTAGAAAGGTTCCTTTCTTTTTAGGGACTCAGTGATCCCCTCCTTACTGTCAACTTGCCTCCTGTTCACGCAGGTGATGGCCTCCCTCCCTCCCTCCTTCCTTTATTTTTCCTTAAAAGAATACTTCACCGGCGATGGTGGCGCATGCCTTTAATCCCAGCACTCGGGAGGCAGAGGCAGGCGGATCTCTGTGAGTTCGAGGCCAGCCTGGGCTACCAAGCGAAAAGCGCAAAGCTACACAGAGAAACCCTGTCTCAAAAAAAACCAAAAAACAACAACAACAGCAAAAGAATACTTCTTTTTTGGGGGGTGGGGGGAGCTGAGGACTGGACCCAGAGCCTTGCGCTTGCTAGGCAAGCGCTCTACCACTGAGCTAAATCCCCAACCCCGAATGTTTCTTGTTCTTATTTCTGTTTCTTATTCAGGGTCTCATTGCCACCCAGTGGTGGTGTTGGTGGCAGCATACACCTTTAATCCCAGGAGGCAGAGGCAGGGGGATCTCTGTGAGTTTACGACCTGCCTGGTCTATAGAGTGAGTTCCAGGACAGCCAGGGCTGCAGAGAAACCCTGTCTTGGAAAAACCAAGGGGGTGGAGAGCGGGGATAGACAGGGTCTCACTCTGTTGCCTTGTTTGGCCTGAAACCCATTGTGTAGGCCAGGCTGGCTTCTGAGTGCTGGCATTACAGGCATGGGCCATTGCACCCAACGAGATGGTGGATTTCTGATGCCCCCTAGTAAAACTGGAGGACAGCCACCCTGGGTTTGCACTTCACTCTGGCCTGACCTGGGTACCCCAGGCCTTTGGGGAACAGGCCATCACCTGACCTCACTGCTAGTGTCCCTGGATCCTTCTCCTCCTACCTTGTTCTCTTTGTTGTCATTTGTTTGCTAGAGGCAGAGAGTAGACATGTCAGAAAAGGCAGTGATATGATGACCAAGGTACACAGTGCATGGCCCTGGTGTGGCTCTGTGGGGGTCTTACAGAATAGAACTATGTAGATATTTGTTCTTCAAGCATAATCTTGGTTGCCAACGATTTAAAGCATGTGTTACTTTAATGTGTCAGATTTTCTCATACTATCGATGCTCAAATAAATGATCTGCGTAAAGAGATCAACAAAATCTCAGGTGACTTTGAATGCCATCTTGGTTAAGATGATTTCCCCCTTTCCTTGGTCCTCTGTTAGCTATTCTTAAAATTCTCTTATGCTTGCTATAATAGACTAGCCATGAAGGCAGTGCATTCAACCTTGGCTTCTAGTACAGACACAATTTTCTCCTTAAAACCTAAAAAGGAAGAGATGTGGGAGGCACAGAGGTCTTTGTGCTCACAGATAAGCACAAGGGGAACCTAGAATTTTAAACACACAGAGTTGCTCCTTCAAAGGAAAGGATGTATAGCCTAGTCTCCCACCCAGAAGGCTGGGAACAGATGTGGCTAATAGACTGGGGACCTTTGTGTTATCTGCGTGGCTGAGACCACACTGGCTCTTCTCCAAGACCCTTATCATGAGCTTGTCAATCTGTAGAACCCATCTTTATGGAAGATGTCACATGTACTTTACAAAGAGTTTTGATGTAGTCATATCTTTTTTTACTTATTTACTTTTATTTTATGTGCGTTGGTGTTCTGCCTGCATGTATGTCTGTGTGAAGGTGTCAGATCCCCTGGAACTGGAGTTACAGACAGTTGTGAGCTGTCATGTGGTTGCTGGGAATTGAACCCTGGAAGAACAGTCAGTGCTCTTAACCACTGAGTCATCTCTCCAGCCCCGATGTAGTCATATCTTAAGCTTTATTGTGCACATAGGATTGAGTTAATTATCACCAGAAAATTTTTCACCAAACTGTGCTGTTGTTAAATATACCTAAAATAAACTACTCCAGGTCGGACTCTAGAAGTGTGAACCAACACCGCTACTGAGTCATATTGAACCAAACTACTTTCTTATCTGCCAAAGATCATTACTCTGCTGGCTGTGGTGGTTGCAAAGCCCCCTGAGTGGGTAGAGGCAGGAGGCAGGCACAGATAGGTGGCTGAGCTGGAAGATGCCAATATTGATGTGATTTTTTCCAAAGGAAAAAAGCATGATCAAGTCAGGAGGTTGGATCTGGGCCCAGATCCTGGCTCTGCAAATGCTGGCTGTGCACTCTCAGGCCAGCTCCCAAACCTCTCTGGGCACTGGGTGCCTGGTTCTCCCCTCCCCTAGGGCCCTCCGAGGAGTTGGAAGCCCATTTCCTGGGAGCTCTAGTGTTGAAATGAAGCATCGAATCCGAAGGTGAAGGTAGGTTGTAGCCATGCCACCGCCACCACTGGACCAGCCCAGATTTCCACTCTCTTCCTTCAGTGCTAAGCCCAGGCTGGCCCGGAGTGGGAATGGGGCAGTGATAGTGTGAGGCCCAAATGCTTAAATACGTGCTTGGCGCCTATGAAGAGAGATGGCAAAGTTCCTCCTCCTGACACTCCAGAAGCAGGTGCCGCCGATTCTTACTGTGAGGTAGAGCTTGTTCATCCCACATCCAGATTCAAGGCTTAGGGGCAGGAGTACTTGTCAGGACCAGAGGAGATGTGAGTTCAGACCCACCTGCAGAGCCAGTCTTTGGAGACACCATGGCATGCTCCAAAAGGGTCCTTCAGTCTCTTGCTTATGTAGTGGGTTATCAGCCTAAGAGCCAAGAATGTTCCAGGTGTTAATAAGCATATAGCTTCATAAGCACATGAACACACATACAGGTCATGCATGTATGTGTGCTTGTGCACACACACACATATGCATGCGCACACTCAGTTGGTAGATGCTTTTGGCTTTACTTCTCAGAGGCCAAATATTTTCTCCAAACCTTCTGCACACTCTAACTCTCTTAAAGATTCTCCTCAAATACTTCAGAAGCAAAATAACAAATGGTGACTTAAAGTCAGTGTCACAAAGAGCAAGAACCCTCCAGACAGGCACACTGGCCTTGATAAGGCAATGGGGCAGCCCTGTGTGTGCCTCTTAGATGAGACTATGCAAGAGCACTAACGGAGTCCTGAGGGAAGAGCAAGGTCACGCTGGCTTCAAGTACCACTAAGGCCAGATGGCACTGGGTTGAACTTTGGTATCCTCACTGTGGCACACTTGCATTATTAAAAAGTGTGGTTTCGTCTGATGGAGCCTCTCAGGCACGTTGCTCATTCACATGGGAGATTGATAAGGTTATTAAAGCCCCAGTTGTGCTATTTTAGGTAGCATCCATTCTGCAGGGTGTGTTAATCAAATGACCAGAGCTGCACCAGAATGATACAGGAGCATAAAACTGTCTTCCCTTTCTGTGTGGAAGCCCGCCATCTGTAACGATTCCTCTTCTCTGTAAGTCTCACCTGTTTTGGATTGCCAGGAGTATATGCAGTGATTAGGAAAGCTGTTGTGTTCATGAATCATGGTCCATGACGTATTTGGTTGAATAATGTTGGCTGAGGCTGACTGGAGGGATGATGCTCCTAGCGAGCAGAGCATCAAGAACCACAGGGCACTGGGTATTCTCACCTCTCAGACACGTGTGTGAGCCTCCCAAGAATAGGAAAGCCATCTCCAAGAGGAAGGCCAGGCCTGGCTGTGGCCCCTTGTTCATGGCTCCAAAGCCAAGGAAGTAGGCAGAACTCCATTCTCTTATGGAACTGGCATCTAGACCTCAGTGTTTCATTGCTTTGTTGACTTATATATCCATTTTGCAGCTTTGAGGCCTCGAACTTGAGGCCTTGCACCTGCTAAGCAAGTGCTTTGTCTCTTAGCCACACCTGCAGCCCCTAGACATAAATGTTCCGACTTGGCATCCTCCGCTCCACACTGCTGCTCCCTGGGACTGTCCTCGGGACTTCCCTACTTGGTTCCTGAAGAGTGGACTCTGGTAGCACCCGGGAAGTCCTGTGACCCCACAGATTCTGTTTTGAGGCTGATAGAGATAGGATTGCCTTGAGGTTGGTGTACACCGAGGGTTCTGTGCCCCCGCCTGTCCCCTGCCTGGCAGCCTTTCCTAGCTCTGAGGATAAATCAACTTGAGTTGAAACCCTTAAGTGGAAGATGCTGGAGCAGCTGCTCCCACACTTGAAGTCGTTCCCACTTGGGATTCTCAGAGGTAAACAAAGTGGAAAGCCCTGGCACCCCCTACCATACCGCCCTGATGAAGGTGGCTGAGGAGGCAATAACATGGTGTTACTAAAGCTAGGCGCATAGGATGGGTTGGGAGACAGGCTTTAACACCAGTGAGCAGAGATGAATGGCCCTTTGAATTTTGTGGAACAAGAAACCTGACCAGAAAGTGCAGTGAGATTGTGCTTGGTAAACAGCCAGCGCATATGTAGAGACAAACAAAACCTGCTAAAACCCAAGTTGTACAAATGCCCAGAGTTAGAAGATAAGTGGAGCCATCTGTCCCCTGGGAGATCAGAAAACACCGTGTCGTGGAATGATGGAGTCTGTGCCAAGCTTTGAGCCTTACTTGAGGATGCCCACCAATGGTGTGGCACCGAGGGTGGCTGCAACATCAGAGGGTGTGAATTAAGAGCATAGTGCAGCCTGGAAAGAGTACCCAGAAAGCTCAGTGCTCAGGCAAGCCAGATCGCAGACACCTCAGACCACAGGCGCTGGGAGGGGAGGTGGAGCACTCCCATCACTGGCAGAGGTCATCTGAGGTCAGGCGTGCAGCAAGGGCCCGTGTGTGTGTGTGTGTGTGTGTGTGTGTGTGTGTGTGTGCGCGCGCGCGTGCCTGAAGTGAGGGGATGACGCTGGGGCAATGCTGGGGCCAACAGCTCTCCTCACTCCTGGGCTGAGTGATCTCAAGCCAGAGGTGGCAGCTCTCCTGCCTCTACTCCCAGGTTCCGGCTTCTGCAGCTGTCACCATGGAGTTCTGCATAAAGACGGAGTCCTGGGAACCGGGGCTAGTGCATGGCTGGTGGGCGGCAGCTAATCCACATCACCTCCTCTTACTGCCTGTTAGCCAAGCCCAGTGGTCTGTGCCTTTATTCCCAGCTATTTGCAGACTGAAGCAGGGGGATCATTTGAGTCCAGAAGTTCCAAACCAGCCTGAAAAAACCAATGTCTCAAAATATATGTCTGTCTCGAAATACAAATACCTCTTGCTTACTATGCTGACCGTCTTGGAGTTCAGTCGCTATGCAGTGAAAGTATTATAGATTTAAGAAATGTGGCTAAGCCGGGCAGTGGTGGCACACACCTTTAATCCCAGCACTCAGGAGACAGGGGCAAGCCAGTCTCTTTGAGTTCAAGGTCAGCCTGCTCTACAAAGTGAGTTCCAGGATAGCCAAAGCTGTTACACAGAGAAGCCCTATCTTGAAAAACAAAAAGCAAAAAACAAACAAACAAAAGCAATTAACAACAACAAAAAATGCTGCCCTGATATGTGGCTTCATTTGTCTGTGTAAATTTCTAGAAAGGTTCGTCATCACAGTGATTATATCCATCATGTTAGTTCCTCTGAGAGAGGAAGCCCTTGGATTTCTTGCTAGGGTACATGAAACTGGGATGAAGAAGCATCCTGACCTCTACAGGGCTGGTGGTCATTTAGGCTGCAGTCCATCTGTTTGTGAAAAGCTCTGTCCAGATCTGCTGTGCATTTAAGGGTCTAGAAAGCCTGTCTCAAAAAAAAAAAAAAAAAAAAAAAGGCCTAGACCTACTATACCCTCACTGAGTGCCCTGTGAGCCAGAGGAAGGGGAGACAGCCACTGATCAAGTGATGCCCACATTCTGGGCACTGTGTACTGCTCCACATGCCTAGTCTCATTGAGTCCCCTGCCATGGGTATGGCCCCAGTCATACTGATGAGAACTCCTGTGCCCCGGGCTGTGCTGCTCGTTATTGACTGAACTGGTACCAGCACCTGGGCCTTCCAGCTCCTAGACCAGCTCATGGCTCTGGGAGAGTAGCTTTGCAGGGACCATCAAGGCACCCTGTGCGCCAAGAAAGCCACCACACAACACTGTTGCTATTCTGCAGGGCAGGATCCTGCAGCAGGGACCCTGGTAACAAATTGTCAGTGGTCACTTGCGTGTGTGGTTTCCTCAGTACCAGACAGACTGTCATCGGCACTCAGAAACTATCCTTGCTAATTGGTAGCTCTGGACTCCATCCTTGGCACGGTCCACAGTCAGTATCTGTCTTGACAATGACAGTGTGTTCTTGCAGCGTCTCGGGTTGACTCACCCTCCGTCTGCAGACTTGCTGGCCATTTGGGAAAGGAGGCAGAGGCGTTGAGATGGGGAGGTGTCAGATTGTCACTGAGACATTTCTAATTTGTGATGTGTGGTTTTGAAGCCAACTCTTCCCTCCTGCTTTTCCTGTTCTTTGCAGCACCCCTCGGGGAAAGACATTTTCTGCTCCCGCCAAGTTGGCAAGGCCTGCTTCCCGAGCCTCCTGGGCGCTGTGACTGCTGGGCCCAGCGCCTCCTGAAAGTCCCACTCTCTCCTCCTGAGGTCACGCTGGGAGGATCATGGGAGAGACAGAAGGGAAGAAAGAGGAGGCTGACTATAAGCGACTGCAGACCTTCCCCTTGGTCAGGGTAAGCCTGGGGAGGGAGGAGAGTGGCCAGCAGGCCCCACAGCCTGCAGGTGGGCGGGGCTTGCGGTGAGAGGAAAGGGCCGCGCTGGCTCCAACCCAAACATCTAACAGTCCCAGTGACTCATTCCTTCATCCATTCCTTCATTCACCAAGTTATGTTCAGGCCGCCCGCTCTATGCCAAGCGTGGTCTAGGCACTGTGGAGATGGTGGCAAACAAGGCAGGTGATGCTCTGGCCATGCAGAGGACAGTGGCAGGCAATCCGCACTGTACAGAAGAGCTGAGCTGGTGCAGAGGCCAACTCCTGGAGGAAGTCAGATCAGTGACCCGCATCAAGTTAGGTGGCAGACCTCGAAAGAACCTGAGGAAGCCTCTGCCCCTCAAAGGAGCAGCAGGCACTGGAGGCTGAGTGTGGCGAGTGGGGCATCATCAACATAGCTGGCTGGAGCCCTTGAGGACTGGCAGATGGGAGGGGTCAGCGTGATGGTGAGGTTAGTCTGTGCAGGCCTGGCCGGCAGCCACCGTGGAACACAGTGAGGGATGTGGGCTCTGTCTGGAGGTCCAAGGAGCAGTGAGGGGCACAAGTTGTAGGTGACATTGTCTTGAGTCGTTAGAAAAGCCGGCAGTGATGGCGCATGCCTTTAATCCCAGCACTCGGGAGGTAGAGGCAGGCGGATCTCTGTGAGTTCGAGGCCAGCCTGGTCTACAGGCACCAAAACTACACAGAGAAACCCTGTCTCAGAAAAAAACAAAAAAACAAAAAAAAGAAAGAAAGAAAGAAAGAAAGAAAGAAAGAAAGAAAGAAAGAAAGAAAGAAAGAAAGAAAGAAAGAAAGAGAAAGAAAGAAAGAAAGAAAAAGAGAAGCATTCTACTGTAGTTAGAAGAGTAGACCCAGGAGAGCGCTGAGTGTCCTTTCCTGGCAGTGGTCAAGCCCTGGAGTGGAGGGGTGAGGTTGGCCCCCGCCAAGCTGTTCCCTGGGTGGGATCTGGATGCCAGGGGAAGACAGTCACAGATGGGCCAGAGTTAAGGAAAAGTCCTTGTTCCCAAGAAAGTGAAATTGTAATCAGAGCAGGTTTGAGGGGAAACGGGGAGATATTTGAGACAGCCAAGTGAGGTTCACCTGGGCAGTGGGACATGAAGTCTAGAGCCCAAGGATGGCATGAAGACATGGAACCCGCCCCCGTGGAAGGCACGGCTGTGAGGGAGGACTTGGCTGCAGAGGATGAAGACAGGCCCTGGCCTCCATCCGGGAGGAGGAACCTGGCAAACTGCCCGAGAAAGGAGCCAAGGAGCAGGAGGGAGCGGGGCTCCCGGGAGTGGTCCTTGGTGGGAACATGGACCCTTGCAGAGGGGCCTGGGCCCAGAACATGTAGCCATCACCATAACACGCTCCACCCCAGCCATAGCCCAGTCAGGGAGAAGTCACTGGCCCGGGACTGGGCCAGGGAAGCCACCTAGTGTCCGTGCCTTAAGCTGAAGACCGAGAGGCTGGCCAGGAGGGCTAGGTCGCGGGCTAAGCCTTGTCTGTTTGTCACCCTGCCCTGTCTCTAGCACTCGGACATGCCAGAGGAGATGCGAGTGGAGACCATGGAGCTTTGTGTCACAGCCTGTGAGAAATTCTCCAACAACAACGAGGTATTACCATCAGTGCAGGTGGCACTCATGTCTCTGTGACCCTGTGTGTGACAGTAGGGTGCCTCCAAAGCCCCGTCGCCAGCTCCAGAGGCCTGCCAGATACAGCTAGAGCCTTGCTTGGGAGTGGTCACTGTTCTGAAGGCCAGTGACAGATGAGGTCGGCTCTAGCCAGGGTACCAGGGCCACACCCAGCCCAGAGGGAGGGAAGCCAGCAGGGTCTCCATACCACGTCTGCCCCCAATCTCTTCGAGTGGATTATTGGCTAGGGCATCTTTCTGGGCTCCATCTCAGCTATGAGCAGAGGCCTGCCAGGCATTCCTCCATGAATTCATCCATCCATTCAGAAAGGGTGGAGCCCCAGCTCGGCCACAGGTATCAGCCCAGCAGTGCCATTCATGGGGCTGTGCTGAAAGAGGGTGGGAGTGTGGCCACATCCCATCTGCATCCCTCCCTCACTGTGTTCTCAAGACAAGCCATTTCTCAGCTCCGAACCCAGAGCCCTAGTCTGGGGACCAGGGGTGGCGGTGCCTCTTTCCTGAGCCGCTGAGGTAATGGGGACACGGGCTCAGTGTCCCTAAACCTCTTCATGCTGAGGGAAGCTTTGGAAAGAGCCGACGTGGGAAGTGGAATGCCATTGCTGTGACTGGGGTCTTTCTGGAACCTGCCACACTTGCTGGTAACAGGCGGCCCCGCAGGGCACCCCTCAGGGCACCCCGCAGGGCCCATGTTGTGCCCTCGCACTGAGCAACCCCACTCCGTTATTTCCTTGGGCCCCGTTTTCCTGGTCCCCAGCTGAGGATGTTGGTGCTGCTCTGGAACCCAGAGTGATAGAACCACCCTTCAGCCCAGGTGCCCTCAAACCTCGTCTCTCCTGCTGTCACCAGGTCCTTCCTGATGAGGTGAGGGGCAGGTGCTGTTCCCATAGCCCTGCAGGAGGCGCTGTGCGGAGCAGAGCCCTGCAGGAGGCGCTGTGGAGGCGCTGTGCAGAGCCTAGCCCTGCAGGAGGCGCTGTG